CTGCCCCTCCCGCCCTTGGCGGTCCTCATGGCTGGAGTTTTTGCTGGTCTCTGGCCTCGCCCACACCCGGGGCAGTACAGACTGCCCGACCCCCTCTAGCTACGGTGCAGGGAAGCAAGGCTGAGGCCCGCCAGACAATCCTGCAGGCCGGGATGGGAAAGAGGAACGAGTTAGGCCAGCTTTGCATCCTCTGGGAGCTGGCGCTCGCTCGGGAGAAGCAGGGGCTGGGCGTGAGCTGGTCTCCCGGATCTTCAAGACTCCCCCAAGACTGCTTGCTGGTGGAGTAGCTCAGTAACCCAGTGTGTGTCTCAGTGAGCCCGCCACGGAAGGGGCCAGGAGTCCACGGGCCTTGCCCACACTTGCTGCCCTGATGGCTTTTCCCCACCTCCCTTCTACTCTGGCTGTAGAAACCAACTCCTGTGCTGCCGAACGGGCAGCATGGCCAGCTCTGTGCTCATCCTCCTATCGCTCATGTTCTAGACCCCAGGCCCAACTCTCACAGAGGGAATGGGGCTGGGGGAGCTAACAGAGAAAGAGCCAAGACCTAGGTGAAGCCTCCTTTCTTTCTTTTCCCCAAGCAGACGCGGTGCAGGGCACAGGAGTCAGAGTCAGGTCAGGCCTCTCGGCAGCAGGGCCTGTGCACAGGTCACACTGCCACCCCAGCCGGTCCTCCACTGTTGTCCACACCTCCCCAACCACACTCTTCTTACCTCACCCCCACCATGGGCCCCAAAGGGCAGAGACTGGAAGGGACCCACCTTGCTTGTCTCTTTTATTGAAATATATTATCTGGACAGCACCCACCTACCTAACTCAGCGTGGCCTCTTTGGCACTGAAAGCTGGAGAGTACAAAATCAGTAAAAAAAAAATAAAAATAAATAATAATAAGCCTGGGTTTTTTGAGTGGACAGTGCAAGTGCACTGAAGGCCTTTGGTACCTGAGAAGGGGGGGTTGTACTCAGGGAACCGGGAACAGGCTGCTGTAGATGAAGTGGCCCATGACCAAGGCCAGCATCTCTGAAGTGCCGCTCAGTGCAACAATGAAGGGGGCCTGGGAGGCATAGTCGGCTTGGAGGCGGCGGAAGGACAGTTGCAGCACGGCCAAGGCCAGCAGGCTGTTCTGCACCCCGACCTCGATGCCCACCGTCCGCCGCTGGGCCACAGGCAGCTTCAGACACGTGGCCAGGCAGTAGCCCACCAAAAGGCCCACCAGGGGCACCGTGAGGCCCACCAGCACGATGGGGAACCTGACACCCGCCAGGATGCAGACACCCATGCGGTAGGCCAGGAAGAGGCCGCCCAGGAGCAGCACAAAGCTGAAGGGCCCGACGACCCGCAGCAGCA